GAGAGAGAGAGAGAGAGAGAGCGAGAGAGAGAGAGAGAGAGAGAGAGAGAGAGGAGTGAGAGAGAGAGAGAGATTTCAAAAGATTGGGAATTAGGTTCTCAGCACGAGCAATAAATCTAGAAGGAACGCGTTCAGGCTAACAAAGAAAAGATAACCATGGAAGAAAACAAATATGTAACAAGAGAAACGAATGGTGGAAACAAACGAGGTGCAAGAGAAGTTCATGGCTAACAAAAAAACTAACGTTAAGATCAAGATGGAAAGAGGAACGGGTAAGAAAAACAGATGAAAGGCGAAAGGAAAGGAAATGAAATAAATAAACGCACCTAGCTACGAACTCACCGAGATAACCATGCACTAAACAAACGAGGTGCATAGTTGAAATGCGAACAAAAACGTTGAACGAACATTTAAAACGAATGAAAGAGGTGCACAAATCGTAAGATGAAAGACCTAAAGCTAAAGCTATACTACAACAATTCTAGAACCTAAGCCTTAAACAACATGCGGCCAATACTATGCTAAACGACTACGATATGAGACCAAGAAATGGTAGTCTAGCGTGTAATGATCTAATTTGGCTCAAAATGATAAGTTAGGGTGGTTCTTACCTTGCACTAGTAGGTGGAGCGTGTTTGGCGGGGAGCTTAACTAGGGAGAAGGAGCAGCGGGAGAAAAAAAGGACGAACAAACCCTAAGGGAGTCTTGGATTCATCGCAAGAAACAATGACCTATATTTTTCGTGGCAGAAAACGCGTGTCGGTGCTGTCGTAGTCGACTTAGGAGTGAAGCTGGATTCGCAAGGTCTCCAGTTCGATTCCAGCTGATGTGAAACTTTGAATCCTTGCCGAATTTTGTCCCTCTTAGTGTCATACTACAGCAAATGTACAGAATTAGAAGCTGTACAAATTTATGTGATTACGCAAAAAGCTTCGCAACCCTAAGACGATCTGGTCGACTCTTGTTTTTTTTTTTTTTAGTTTCACTGCAGTAGTAAAAAACAAGCCTTTTCTTTAGATCTATATTGTAATTTAGCTGGTTCCGTATGTTCATACGGCAAGAACACAACATGACTCTTCGTAGCAAAAAAAAAAACTACCACCTAAGGGGGCACTTGCAATGATGAAATACCGTAGCATTAGAGGGGTCATTTGGAAGCAACCACTGCGATTTGAAAACACCAACCAGTCTTTAACATTCCACAGGAAAATACTTGAGAGGGCCCCGCAGTCAACAATCATGCCCACACAGCCCCGCTGTTGACCATCTTGGTGTAGGCTGGCACAAAGTCCCGGAAGAAGAGGTCCTGGTCATTGGCGTACTTGTTGATCCACCTGGTGTGGCCACGGGGAGAGATGAGGGGGGGAGGAGGAAGGAGGAGGGGAAGGAATGAGAGGGATTTCACACGCCTTTAGAAGAAGGGGAGATATCAGAAGTCCTGGAAGAAGAGGTCCTGATCGCTGGCATAATACTTGTTGATCCACCTGGTGTGGCACGGGAGTGAGATGAAGGGCATGGCAAGGTTGGAGGGATGAAGTGAGAGGGGGAAATGGGAGCAGGAGTTTGGGCAACAACGTTTTTCACCAGAAACTAACTAGAGATGATGTTGACCCCACAAAAACAATCACTGCCTTAAGCAATCGTCTGCAAAACCAGGCCAGAAACTTTTTGGTACAGGAAAAGTCCAACTTACCTAATAACAGCTCCTAAAAACAGATAGAACACAATCAGTCACACACGGTTGCAGTGGAATTGGCATGTGAATCAACACAATTGGACTCACACGAGGCAGTCTTCATCGTCCACAATAGCCTTGTCTGATGGCAACCCAATCATGTCCGCCATGCTGTTCCCTGCCATAGTTGTCACAGGGTATGCATGCAGCATCGGGAGGCATGAGCATGACATGCATGCATGGACACGGTCATATGCATGCAACTTGGGATGGCAGCCCGATCCATGCTGTTCCCAGCCATGGTTGTCACGTGGGGATGTATGCATTCAGCATGGGGAAGCATGAGCATGACATGCATGCATGGGCAAGGTCATTCATTTCCAGCCATGTGTTGGCAGCACGATCATGCCCCCATGCTGTTTCCTTCCATGCCAGTTAAGCATCGGGTGCATGGGAGGGTTCATGGGGTGCATGACATGATGTTTGAATGGAAGATAGTGGAGAGGAACGAGCAAGTAAAGAGAAGGAGATGTTGGGGAACAAACGAGTGGGCCATAAGAAAGTGGTGTAGTGCGAGATTGTACAAAGGGAGAGTGAGAGTGGGACAAGCAGGCACAGCTTCATGCACTCACTTGTGTAAGCCACACTCACTCGTGTCCAGCCACGGCTTGGTCAGCAGAATGGAGTAGAAGCCAGAAGCAGTTTTTGAGGCGCCTCAAAAATAGCCAGTAGCAGTTACACACTTGTGGTGAAAAGAGAGAGTGGAGCAAGCAGGCAGATTTGCATGCACTCACTCGTGTCCAGCCACTTCTTGGTCAGCAGAATGGAGTAGTAGGCGTTGTCAAAGCCAGTTACACACATAGGGGGGTTGGATAGCGGGGCAAGCAGGCACAGCTTCATGCACTCACTCGTGTCGAGCCAGGGCTTGGTCAGCAGAATGGAGTAGTAGGCGTTGTCAAAGCTGGTGGCATCACCAAAGCCCTTCCCTCCCAGTGTGTGCGCTCCCAGTAGACACACCGTCTCCTGTAGACTGGGGGGGGGGGGGGGGAGAAGGGGGCTGAGAGAGGGCATTTTGGTCGACAGAAAGTAGCTTTGACAGTATAAAGCCTTTCCCTCCCAGTGTGTGCGCTCCCAGTAGGCACTGTCTCTTGTAAGCTGTATGGGGGTGGAAAGGTGTTGGGAAGGGAAGGGGGGAAGGGAGGAAAGAGTGAAGTGGGAGGAGTGGGGAGGTAGGAATAAATTATGGCCGCACCTGAAGCCGCAACTGAAGCCGCACCTAAAGCCGCCCCTGACGAGCTTTGCATTGCAAATGTTCTCCTTGGCGTTCAGTGCAACTGAAAGTTATTCTATCTAATTCTATAATTCACGCACCTGAAGCCCTCGAAGACCTCAGAAAGACCTCACAACCCACCTGAAGCTCGCACAACCCACCTGAAGCTCGCACAACCCACCTGAAGCTCGCACAACCCACCTGAAGCTCGCACAACCCACCTGAAGCCCTCACAACCCACCTGAAGCCCTCACAACCCACCTGAAGCCCTCACAACCCACCTGAAGCCCTCACAACCCACCTGAAGCCCTTTGTCTTGAAGCTCGCTACCACCTCCTTGGCGTTCAGCGTCTCTGCTGGCATGCGGTTCTCAGGGTCGGAACCGCTGGTGAGAGGGGGGGAAGGGCAGGGAAGAGGAGGGGAGGAGGGAGTGAACGGTGATGGGACAGTGAGTGGAGGGGCAGAGCAGAGCAGAGGCCAACAGGGCATTGCAGGGGCGGGGCAATCAAGGGGCAGAGTCTAGGCTGCCATGCGGCTCTCATGGTTGGAACGAGGGGGGGGGTGTGGTGTGGGAATCTGGGGAGACGAAGGCTTTTGAGGCGCCTCAAAAGGAATCTGGGGAGACGAAGGCTGCTCAATAGACGCTGTGAGAGAAGGGCAGGGCTTTCACGTTTCTGCTGCCATTCGACACTCAGCTCGAAGTGACTTTTGATTCGACTCTAAAGTCACCTCGTTACAATGGCACACGACACATTTTGAGTCGACTCAAAAGACGCTGTGAGAGAAGGGCAGGGCTTTCAAGTTGCTGCTGCTCCAAGTCAGCTCAGCACAAGCCAGCCCCTCCTGGCTCAGCGATGCACAGCCGGCCGGCGCCTTGTCTCGAAGCACTCGAACCCATCAAAGCACTCGAAGCACTCGAACCCATCAAAGCACTCGAAGCACTCGAACCCATCAAAGCACTCGAACCCATCAAAGCACTCGAACCCATCAAAGCACTCGAACCCATCAAAGCACTCGAACCCATCAAAGCACTCGAACCCATCAAAGCACTCGAACCCATCAAAGCACTCGAACCCATCAAAGCACTCGAACCCATCAAAGCACTCGAACCCATCAAAGCACTCGAACCCATCAAAGCACTCGAACCCATCAAAGCACTCGAACCCATCAAAGCACTCGAACCCATCGAAGCACTCGAACCCATCGAAGCACTCGAACCCATCAAAGCACTCGAACCCATCAAAGCACTCGAACCCATCAAAGCACTCGAACCCATCGAAGCACTCGAACCCATCAAAGCACTCGAACCCATCAAAGCACTCGAACCCATCAAAGCACTCGAACCCATCAAAGCACTCGAACCCATCAAAGCACTCGAACCCATCAAAGCACTCGAACCCATCGAAGCACTCGAACCCATCAAAGCACTCGAACCCATCAAAGCACTCGAACCCATCAAAGCACTCGAACCCATCAAAGCACTCGAACCCATCGAAGCACTCGAACCCATCGAAGCACTCGAACCCATCGAAGCACTCGAACCCATCAAAGCACTCGAACCCATCAAAGCACTCGAACCCATCAAAGCACTCGAACCCATCAAAGCACTCGAACCCATCAAAGCACTCGAACCCATCGAAGCACTCGAACCCATCGAAGCACTCGAACCCATCAAAGCACTCGAACCCATCAAAGCACTCGAACCCATCAAAGCACTCGAACCCATCAAAGCACTCGAACCCATCGAAGCACTCGAACCCATCGAAGCACTCGAACCCATCGAAGCACTCGAACCCATCGAAGCACTCGAACCCATCAAAAAGCACTCGAACCCATCAAAGCACTCGAACCCATCAAAGCACTCGAACCCATCAAAGCACTCGAACCCATCAAAGCACTCGAACCCATCAAAGCACTCGAACCCATCAAAGCACTCGAACCCATCAAAGCACTCGAACCCATCAAAGCACTCGAACCCATCAAAGCACTCGAACCCATCAAAGCACTCGAACCCATCAAAGCACTCGAACCCATCAAAGCACTCGAACCCATCGAAGCACTCGAACCCATCGAAGCACTCGAACCCATCGAAGCACTCGAACCCATCGAAGCACTCGAACCCATCAAAGCACTCGAACCCATCAAAGCACTCGAACCCATCAAAGCACTCGAACCCATCGAAGCACTCGAACCCATCAAAGCACTCGAACCCATCAAAGCACTCGAACCCATCAAAGCACTCGAACCCATCAAAGCACTCGAACCCATCAAAGCACTCGAACCCATCGAAGCACTCGAACCCATCGAAGCACTCGAACCCATCAAAGCACTCGAACCCATCAAAGCACTCGAACCCATCAAAGCACTCGAACCCATCAAAGCACTCGAACCCATCAAAGCACTCGAAGCACTCGAAGCTCTCGACTGAAAGCAGCACTGACTGTACCGTACCAGAGCAGCAACACACCCCCTCACCTCACCTCACCTGGCATCCCGCCTGCCCATGCGCACAGGGATGTGCGGCCCACCACACGACTCCACTGCGTATGCCCCTGCCACTGCCATGAGATCCGCCCAGGACACCACTGGAAGGGGGAGGGGTTTGGGGGGGAACATAAAGAGGGGGCGAGAGGGGCGAGGCAGAACAAAATAGGCACCCAGCCGCACACGACCCACTGCGTATGCCCCCGCGACTGCCATGAGATCCGCCCATGAGACAACTGAGATAGGGGGGAAGGAGGGGAGAGGGAGCGGGGGGGAGGAGAGACTTCAGCTTCCAGGAAGCAAGTGAATCCGCCACACACACGACCCACTGCGTATGCCCCCGCCACTGCCATGAGATCCGCCCATGAGAACGCTGGGAGGTGAGGGGTTTGGGGGTAACAGAAAGAGGGGGAGGGAGGGGCGAGGCAGGACAAGCTAGGCGCCCAGCCGCACACGACTCCACTGAATATGCCCCCGCTGCTGCCATCAGATCAGCCCATGAGACCACTGGAGAGGGATGAAGCGAGAGAAAAAAGGATGGGAGTGGGGAGGAGGGGAGGGAGGGGAGGGGGGGGGAGGGGGGGGGAGGGTTGGTGGGAAATGCAGGTGGAGAGAAGAGGAGGGGGAAGCCAAGCTAGGCACCCAGCGGCACATGACTCCACTGCGTATGCTCCCACCATTGCCATCAGATTGGCCCATGACACCATTGGGAGGGGGAGGGGGAAGGGGAAGGAGAGAGGGAGGGTGCTGCAGTAACCACACAGGCACTCGTCACATGCCTCCATGGCACATGCCTCCATGGCACATGCCTCCATGGCACATGCCTCCATGTCACAGGCCTCCATGGCACATGCCTCCATGTCACATGCCTCCATGTTACATGCCTCCATGTCACATGCCTCCATGTCACATGCCTCCATGGCACATGAATTTCCTGTCACCTTTGAGCAAAAATAATCACACACAACACTAGACAGCACATGTGGCACATACCTTGCTTTCTCACTGAGGTGACTTTTGAGTCGACTCAAAAGTCAACATGAGACAGCACATGTGGCACATACCTTGCTTTCTCACTCCTTCTTACCGTTTGTCAGGGGCCCGAGCTCCAGGCGAGCCTTCTCGAGCACCTGACGAGGGGGGGTGTGGATGGATCGTGGAGGAGAGAATGTGGTATAGCTTAGTGGAGAGCTGTGACTGGGATTTACTAATCACTTCAGCAGCTACAGGGGGAGTCTTTCCAAGCACCTAGGGGCGAGGGGAACATGGAGGGATGGATGGAAGATACAATGTATTTTTGAGTCGACTCAACGAAGGGCTGCAATTCGAGTGGAGACGGCACTTGAGCGGCCACAGGCGAGCCTTCTGTCAAGCACTAGGCGAAGGGACGGGAGGTGTGCGAGATCGACACGGGAAAGAGTTTCCCAAAGCGTCTCATGCGTTGTGTCGACTCCACAGTCACGCCCTTATGGTGAGTCTAAAACGACACTTTGGCAGCTCCACACCAACTTCTTCACCTGCTGCGTTCTTCTCAGCAAAGGAATTCCCCACGAAACAAGGATTCGAGAAGATAGAAGGAAAGACCGGAAAAAGAGCCCACGCTGAGAGAAGATGAAAAGCAGTGGCGATGAAAATGGATATTGGTGATGAGCGAACCTTGGGACGGATCCAAGCGAGACATAGAGAGAGGGAGTTTTGAAGAGGAGTAAGGTGGAGGAAGGAGGTGGGAGGAGGGAGGAGGGAGGAGGGAGGAGGGAGGAGGGAGGAGGTTACCTTGATGGTGCGCTTGAGCCCGTCATTCTCTGGCCGCTTCAACTCAAAGCGCACCGACCCGTTCATTCCGCCTGCAGGATGATGTGATGCATGCAGTGATGCATGCCGATGCATGGATGGATGTACGGCACACAGCACACACACATGCATGTGATGTGCGCATGCAATCCGACATGCTCGTACATACAGGTGCATACTCACACAACCACGCCCACACGCATCCATGCACGCACACATACAGGTGCGCGCGCGCACACACACGTACAACACACACACACATGCGCGCGCGCGCACACACACACACACACACACACACATGCGCACAAACACACACATGCGCACACACACACACCACACACACACACACACACACACACACACACACACACACACACACACACACACACTAAAGTTGAGGGGCAACGGCGTTCTTGTTAATTGGGTGTTTTCCGTGTTTACACAGTCATGTTATGCATCAAGGCTAAGAGGCACTACATGTGTTCGTAATCAGGGCATAAGTGTCAACTGGAATCATCATAGAGTACCACCTTCAGGGCGCTGGCCAGGTATCTTGGTTCTGGTTACCACAAGCATAATTGTTGAGTTTATGTCGTACGTCATAGGTGGACCAAGGCTGGTTGCATGTAGTGTGATTGTTCGGAGGCTATGTCATGTCACCGGTGTTGGTTGCCATTTCGTACGTCATAGGTGTACCAAGGGTTCGTTGGTTACTTGTGATTGTGCCGAAGCTAGAGCGTGTCATGTCATCTGTGCTGGTCCCCAGGTCGTACGTCGCAGGCGTACGAAGATATTGTTGGCTATAGGCGATTTTAACGAAACTAGAGCGTGTCGTGTCACCTGTGATCATACCGAGGCTAGAGTGTGCCACGTCATGTCACCTGTGTTGGTCGCCAGATCGTATGTGCCCGCGTCGTGAAACACGATTCTCAGCGCGCCAGGCGCCTTGGCTCTGGTTACCACCTTCGCCACTGCTCGCCGCACTGCCGCCTCCAGCTCAGCAGGGGACAGATCCACGTCAGCAGCGTATGCTGGGGCCACCGGACTGGTCAGGAGGACAACGAGCGAACGATGGGGAGTGATAGAGAAGGAGAGAGGCAGGGGGGGAGGCAACAAGTGCGCGAGAAAGGCCGGGGTCGGGAAGGAGGGAGGGGGAGGGAAGGGGAAGAGTGGGGTGGAGGGAAGGGGAAGTGTTGCGCGGGGGGGAAATAGCGGTTGGGGGTGATTGCGCGGTGGACTCACCTGGACGGCTGACAGCTGGCAACTGATAACTGGACGCGAACTACAGACAGCCTGTCTGAGGAATCCCAGAAGCGAGGGGGCGCTAGTATGACAATGACAAGCCAGGGCACCTCAACGAGGGAAGCGACGGCGACAGGAGCGGCGCGAGAGTCGCCGCGGAGAGGGACAATGCGAGCAGCGATCGACGGCTGACCGCACTCGACGGCATGCCTTGCGATTCGCTCCTGTTGCTGCTGCTGGAGTCCGCATTCGCCCGCACACGGCGAGTCGTTTTAGTCACACCCGCTAGAGGAACAGACGTTCGTCTGACAGGGAAATCCGCGACGCCGGAACGCTGGGCGGAAAGCGCGCCCAGCTCGCGTGAGAGATTTTGCGCTGCAAGGGACGCCATTGGCGGCGCAAGCAGGGGTTGGCGGAAGAAGCGGAGGAGAGGGCAACGACGATGCGGAAGAGGGGGGAAGGGGAGGAAAGGGAGGTGGGGAGAAAGGACGATAGAGATGCTGCAGCGCAGCAGTCTAAATACGATTCAAGTGCTCTTTAGTACTAGTAATGAGTGCTGTGCTATGTTAGTCAATGTGGGCTGACCAGTGCAAATGGTTGCTGAATGTGAATGAGTGGAGCTGACGTCAGCAGCTACTTTTGCGGTTTAGATCGGTTTATGGGATTTAGTGGGGTAGTCTTTTGAGCCACAGACAGTTCCGTGGAATCGTACGAACAGGCGAACGGTCTGTTTTGTGGTCGATTCTGCGGTACGGGTTGATGACCGTACGACTTTCTCCGAATTCGTGAAACCTTTCGTACGACAGCGATGTCGTGTCACGACCTCCGTGCGTTTGTGCGGCCAATCTGACGCAAAAAGTCAGAAAAGAGTGTACGACGCGGCCAAATGCCGAAAGGGCAACAATTCGTTGGCGAGGATGGGAAAACAATGAAGCATGTGTTACACAAATCACTTGCAACAAACATCCTCCATACAATTTCATAAGAATTCATTTCACAGGTCATCATCCTCATCGTTAATTTCCTCCTCATAAATGTTTTCCTCTTTAGCCGTCCTTTTCCCCCCATAACCCGTGCTTTGGATCCCTACTGCCTTCAGTGCATCTCGCAGTCCCTCACATTTCACCACTTCACATCCACTGGGTGCTGCTTGCCCTTTCCACTGCTTCGCTGGCACAACACATCGAGAAAAGCCAAGCTTCGCCACCTCATTCACCCGCCGATCCAGCTGAGTCACCTGGCAAAAAATAGAGCGCAAGAAGTAGAGCCTGTTAGAAGCCACCCACCTCTATGTGCACCAAACAGCAACAATTTTTAGTGATCGAATAACATCGGATAACATATTTTGAGAGTGTACTGTGTATGCTCTAGTGCCCCACGTGGTTCAACATCTTACCCCTCTCAACTCCCCATTGAGCCCAATCTCGCCAATGAAGGCTGTGTCTGCTGGCACCGGGCTCTCGAAAAGGCTGGCGGGAGGGGAGTGACAAGGAGCAGAGAGGGTGGAGGAAGGGGGGAATGAAATTATGGTGGTCTGGAGGAAGGGACGAGTGAGACGAGGGGAAGGATGGTGCAGATCGTGGCGGTATGGGAGAAACACAGAGAGATTGACTGTGAGAGGTGAGGGGCAGAAAGAGCAGCAAGACATGCTAAGCATAGAGGGACAGTGGCATTCAAGTACAAGATGAGAGTATATGAGTAAAGTTTTGCCAGGCAGTCAAGAGAGCATCACACCTGCTGGCGATGGCAACTGCAATGGCGAGGTCAGCAGCCGGCTCCTTGACCTGCATGCCCCCAACCACGTTCACCACTACATCCTGGTAGGGGCAATAAAGTAGGCCAGACGTGGGTTAACATGGGATAAGTGAAACAGGGAGTCAAGCAAAGTGTATGGCCTCTTAAGTCAGCAGCCGGCTCCTTGACCTGCATGCCCCCCACCACGTTCACCACCACATCCTCCCACAACCGATAAGGTAACAGGGTAACAGGGTCACAGTGTACTAGGTTAACAAGCAGTGTATGAGGTGATCTGAACTTAACAGCAGGCTCCTTCAGCTGCATGCCCCCCACCACGTTCACCACCACGTCCTGCCAGGGCCGTGAGGTTATCCCAATATGGGTAACAGGGTGACACGGTAACAAGCAGAATGTGGGGTGTTAAGATCTTAACAGCAGGTTCCCTGACGTGCATGGCCCCCACCACGTTCACCACCACATCCTTTTAGGGACAATAAGGAAGTCACATAGCAACAGAGAAAGCAGAATAGCAGGGTAATAGGGTAACCGGGTCAAAGGCAGACTGTGGGGTGTCTTGAGTACAGCAGCAGGTTCCCTGACGTGCATGCCCCCCACCACGTTCACCACCACACCACGTCCTGATGAGGTAACCACAGGGCCAATACAGCGCGAAGGTGAGGATGGCGAGGCGAGAGACATGGGTAGACGGAGATAAGGCGACTAGCTAGCGCAGGTGCAGGCGCAGGTGCAGGCGCAGGTGCAGGCGCAGGTGCAGGCGCACTCACTCGAGAGCCGATGGCCAGGCCAACGTGGCGCATGACCTTGGTGAGGATTGTGAGTCGATACATGTCCACCCCGTTGGCTGTCCTGGTAGGGGGGATGTTGGGGATGGCCTTCACACACAGCGCCTGGTGAGGGGAAGGCAGGGAGGAAAGGACGGGGTAGAGTAGAGGCGAAGGGGGAAAGACACGAGGATCGTGAGTCGATACATGTCCTCCCCGTTGGCGGTCCTGGTGGGGAGCAAAAGAGGAAGAGGACATGAGGCCATGAGCATTGTGAGGTGGTAACTTTTGAGCCGACTCAAAGGCAACTCTTGAGTGGACTGAAAGGCAACTCTTGAGTCGACTGAAAGGCAACTCACGAGTTGACTCAGAAATCACATGGTTATGCCTCCGCGCGTGCGAGCACCTGGAAGCACCTGGAAACGCCTGGAAGCACCTGGAAACACCTGGAAGCACCTGGAAACACCTGGAAGCACCTGGAAACATCTGGAAGCACCTGGAAACACCTGGAAGCACCCGGAAACATCTGGAAGCACCTCAAATTACATCTCAACACAGTCACCCACCTGCACCTCCAGCAGCAGCGGCCTGCTTCCATGCATCACCACAGCCACCGCTGCACTGCCCCGCGTGCGACTGGCAGGGAGGAAGGCGAGGCTGGGGTTGGGCACTGCCACCATGCCGCGTGCTGCCATCTCGAACACTCCCACCTGGGAGTAGTGGTAGGGGGATGGTGATGGTATGAAAGAGATGAATTGTGAGCCAACAGGAGGAAGGCGAGGCTGGGGTTGGTTGGACACGGCCAGCATGCCCCGCGCACGCACGCGCGCGCGCACGCACGCACGCACGCACACACACACACACACACACACACACACACACACACACACCTGGTGGGGATTGGGGGTGATGGGAGGGGTGTGAGATGGTAGAGAAGAGGGATTTCTGAGTTGGGAAGGGGGAGGCGAGGCTGAGGTGGGGCACAGCCACCATGCCACATGTTGAGGTGGGGCACTGCCACCATGCCACATGTTGACATCTCAGACACGACCACCTAGTAGGGCGAGGCGAGCAAGCGTGGCCGGGGTGACGGGGGGCGACGGAGGGTGACGGGGGGGCAACAGAGGGTGACGGGGGCGACGGGATGAGAAGAGCGGAGAATTGGGTATTGCCATGCCATCAATCCCTGGGCGGGTGGCCAGGGGGAAGGCGAGGCACTGCCACCTGGTAGGGTGGGCAAGCGGGGGTGGAGTGACGGGGGCGACAGGTTGAAAGAAGGTGAGATTGGGTATTGCGATCGTCCCCTGCCCTGCTGGCAGGGGGAAGGCGAGGCTGGGGTGGAGCAATGGCACCATGCCGCATGCTGCCATCTCAAACATGCCCACCTGGAAGGGAGGGGACGGGGGTGGGGAAGAGGGGAGGGGTGGGGGGGTTTGTGGGGCGGGGTGGGGGGGAGGAGGGGGGGGGGGAGGGGGAACACAATGAGGGGTTTCAATGAAGCGAGAGGGTGGGGGGAGGAAAAATGCTGAGGCTGAGTGAAGCGAGTCAATTGAAGGAAGAGACAGAATGGAACAATCATCTTGACTGCCTTGCAATGGCATTATAGGGATGTGCCTTCACTTCACACCTATTACCCTAGAACGCCTAGGAGGTTCAAGTGTGATGGGCTGGTTCAGATGGGATGAGATGAGAGATAGGTTCAAGTAGGACGGGAAATCGTTCAGGTGGAATGGGTGATGGTTCGCCTCCACACACTAGCCTCCACACACTCACCTCCACACACTCACCTCCACACACTCCCCTCAACACACTCCCCTCAACACACTCACCTCCACACGCTCCCCTCCACACACTCACCTCCACACACTGACCTCCACCCACTCACCTCCACACACTCCCCTCCACACACTCCCCTCCACACCCTCACCTCCACACACTCCCCTCCACACACTCCCCTCCACACACTCCCCTCTCCACACTCACGTCCACACACTCACCTCCACACACTCATCTCATCTCCACTCACTCCTCTCCACACACACACTCCCCTCCACAGACTCACATCCACACACTCACATCCACACACTCCCCTCCACCCACTCACAACCACACTCCCCTCCACACACTCCCCTCCACACACTCCCCTCCACACACTCCCCTCCACACACTCACCTCCACACACTCCCCTCCACACACTCCCCTCCACACACTCCCCTCCACACACTCACGTCCACACACTCACCTCCACACACTCATCTCATCTCCACTCACTCCTCTCCACACACACACTCCCCTCCACAGACTCACATCCACACACTCACATCCACACACTCCCCTCCACCCACTCACAACCACACTCCCCTCCACACACTCCCCTCCACACACTCCCCTCCACACACTCCCCTCCACACACTCCCCTCCACCCACTCCCCTCCACCCACTCCCCTCCACCCACTCCCCTCCGCCCACTCCCCTATAATTACACTCACCTCATCATTGGTCGAATCAGTTCTTGCTGGTGCTGAAAAAGTGGTGGCTTTCCTGCTTGTTGCTCTGGCACATGGAGTTGCAGTGACCTTCCTCAATCACACTCAACTCCACACACACACTCACTCACCTCCGCACACACGCTCCCGCCCCTCCACTCACTCATCTCCACACACTCACTCGCCTTCACACATTCATGGCTCCCCACAATCTGATTCACCTCATCAGTGGAGTCGAATTGGTTCTTGCTGGTGCTCAGGATGCGGTGGCTGTCCTGCCTGTTGATCTGGTGTGTGCGACATGGTGACCCTTGTTCACACAATCATTCCCCTCCACACACTCACTCCTTTCTTCACACAGTCACACCCTCTCACTCTCACTCACCTCATCTGTGGAGCCGAATCGGTTCTTGCTGGTGCTCAGGATGCGGTGGCTGTCCTGCCTGTCGCTCTGTCATGTATGGTAAGTTTGGGGCCGGAAGAGAATGAACAGAGCACGACAAGAGAAAGAGCACGACGGTTTTTGCTGGTGCTCGGGATGCGGTGGCTGTCCTGCCTGTTGATCCTGGTGGACGGGGAAGGCAGATAGGGAGGGTGAGGGCGAGGGAGAGCGAGGGAGAGTGAGGGAGAGGGCGAGGGTGAGGGAGAGGGAGAGGGTGAATGAAGGGGAAAGGCGGGAGAAGTGCGGTAGGTGGGCGATGGTGCAATGTGCGTCTCACTCACGTTCGCCTTTGTCGTGAAGTATTTCGTTTTCCTACCACGAAAGCAAGCAGTGAATAGATGCTGAAGCAAATCGACTGAGCCCTCGCGAGGGGAGTGCGGCTTGTTATATAAGCAAAAAGAATCGAGCATAGAAGCGTACGGGCGCTAAGGCCCTGAGATAGCTGCGGCATAGAAGGACCGTGAGGCATGAGCAAGACCGACGGTGATCTGCACACTCATCGACTCCAATCGGGACAACAGTATTTTAACAGGAGAATGGAGGAACATGAGCTGCTGCCGGTCAGGTCCGGATTTCGGGCAGAAGAAGGAGATAGTGATGTGTTGCAAGGGAAAGTGAGAGATCCGTCGAAGGAAGGAGAGAATCGTCGAAAAGCTCCACCGAGATCCAGTTGTAACTCGCCCGCACGGTCTTCTGCCCAAAATTTGGACCTGACTGGTAGCGGCTCATGTTCCTCCATTCTCTTGTCTGAATATTGTTGTCCCGATTGGAGTCCATGAGTGTGCAGATCACTATCGGTCTTGCTCATGCCTAACGGTCCTTCTATGCAGTGGCTATCTCAGAGTCTTAGCACCCGTACGCTTCTATGCTCGATCCTTATTGCTTGTATGAAACAAGCTGCACTCTCCCTCACCAGGGCTCAATCGATTTGATTCAGCATCTATTCACTGCTTACTTTCGTGGTAGGAAAGTAGTAAAAAAAAACATACAAGCAAAAAGAATCGAGCACGAGCTTTCTGCCTAAATCTCTCCTATCCTCTTACCTAGCCTTCCTTGACCTGCACGCTACTTCTAGGGCCAAGTCGCGCGCCAGCTGGGGTGCTAGCTGGGTTCCACTGGCCCAGTAGGCATGCACCACCATCTAGTTTGGAACGAATTCCTTGAATCAAATTCCCAGCCTGGAATCGGATTCTCGCCCCTACCCACATCAACCTCCTCATATCCCCAGCACCTCGGCTATGAATCAATATGTACAATCCACACCAAGCACACAAATGAAAGTAAGAGTACAGAAAACAACAATATGGTACAACCTCACCTGTAGCTGCTGTGCTATTCACACGTAGCCGCTGGCTATGTGTGAATAGCGCGACACCTTTGAGTCGACTCAGGAGTCGCATTGTGGCAGGCAGGTGGTGATGGTACCAAATGCGCATCACTCACATTGGTGAATAAGGCACCACTCCCCTCCACGTGCATCGTACACCCCCAAGTGTGCTACAGGTCCACCGACACTGCCATACCCTTGACAAAGTCGCACATAACTTTGACGCCACTCCCTACTACCAGTGTCACACAAGTTACAGTCACACTCATTCATTCCCTCACTCACCTCTACGCGCATCACCACATCCACTATGTGCTTCAGGTCCCTTGACACTACCACACGCCCATACATACCAGTATCACTCCCTACCACACACCAGTTACACTCACTCTCACTCATCTCCACATGCATCACCACATCCACTATGTGCTTCAGATCCCTCGGCCCTGCCATGCCCTTCCATTGACAACTCGCTCACCTAGCATTGATGCCATTGGCTACCAGTGTGACAGTGCCACGCCAGTTACAGTCACACTCACAGAAATCACCCACCTCCACATGCATCACCACATCCACTATGTGCTTCAGATCCCTTGGCCCCGCCACGTCCCCCGCTTTAGTCACATGTCCCACCTGTTATGTGGGAGACAGGGGGTGAGTGATAACAATCGATGCATACATTTGCTTGAGATACCGTTACACTATATCACAGCCAGTCCAAAAGGCCCCTCATAATCAAAACGAGAATGCCTCGATTGGCCTCATAGTAGCAGCAGCAGCGTGCGGGAAGGAAGAGAAGGGAAGGGGCAAAGAGCGATGTGGCAATGTGGGAGTGGACGGGGCTCACAATGCCTTTTGAGGCGCCTCAAAGGACGGGGCTCACACTGCCTTTTGAGGCGCCTCAAAGGACGGGGCTCAAAATGCCTTTTGAGGCGCCTCAAAGGACGGGGCTCACAATGCCTTTTGAGGCGCCTCAAAGGACGGGGCTCACAATGCCTTTTGAGGCGCCTCAAAGGACGGGGCTCACAATGCCTTTTGAGGCGCCTCAAAGGACGGGGCTCACAATGCCTTTTGAGGCGCCTCAAAGGACGGGGCTCACAATGCCTTTTGAGGCGCCTCAAAGGACGGGGCTCACAATGCCTTTTGAGGCGCCTCAAAGGACGGGGCTCACAATGCCTTTTGAGGCGCCTCAAAGGACGGGGCTCACAATGCCTTTTGAGGCGCCTCAAAGGACGGGGCTCACAATGCCTTTTGAGGCGCCTCAAAGGACGGGGCTCACAATGCCTTTTGAGGCGCCTCAAAGGACGGGGCTCACAATGCCTTTTGAGGCGCCTCAAAGGACGGGGCTCACACTGCCTTTTGAGGCGCCTCAAAGGACGGGGCTCACAATGCCTTTTGAGGCGCCTCAAAGGACGGGGCTCACAATGCCTTTTGAGGCGCCTCAAAGGACGGGGCTCACACTGCCTTTTGAGGCGCCTCAAAGGACGGGGCTCACAATGCCTTTTGAGGCGCCTCAAAGGACGGGGCTCACAATGCCTTTTGAGGCGCCTCAAAGGACGGGGCTCACAATGCAATGCACCTTTGAGGATTGTCAGAAAGGGCTTGGCTTACAATGAAGATGGGAATGCCTCGGTGCTTCCAATGAAGATGGGAATGCCTCGGTTCTTACAATGAAGATGGGAATGCCTCGGTTCTTACAATGAAGATGGGAATGCCTCGGTTCTTACAATGAAGATGGGAATGCCTCGGTTCTTACAATGAAGATGGGAATGCCTCGGTTCTTACAATGAAGATGGGAATGCCTCGGTTCTTACAATGAAGATGGGAATGCCTCGGTTCTTACAATGAAGATGGGAATGCCTCGGTTCTTACAATGAAGATGGGAATGCCTCGGTTCTTGGCCTCCAGCAGCAGGAGCAGCGTGCACTCCCGCACCTGAGAGGAAGAGATTGGGAAGAAAAAGGGGAGCAGAGGGGAGGGGTGGGGAGGAAGGGAGGGGAGGGGAAGGGAGGGGAGGGGAGGGGAGGGGAGGGGAGGGAGGGGGAGAGGAGGGGAGAGGAGGGGAGAGGAAGGAAATCGCCTCCGTTTTTGTCACACATTCCCTCACAAATGTTAGAGTCTCAGGTTCCCCTCTTTACCTAAGCTGCTGCTTCCACCTCATTCTCTCCTCTCCCTCTCTCTCTCTACTCTCCCTCACCCTCTTCCTCTACTCTCCCTCTCCCTCTACTCTCCCTCTCCCTCTGCTCCCCTCAGCCCTGCCTCACCTGGCTGACACTGCCCAATGAGCCAGTGACACCTGGCAGGTGCATGGTCTGAATGGAGTCCACTATCACAGCGCGCGGCTCTATCTCCGCGATCCCTTCAAGGATGCTCTGCAGGGGGGAAGGGGCGGCAGGAAAGAGGTGATGGGGGGGACAGACAGTTCAAGGAGAAATCCCATTGGGAGGGAGGGGAGTCCACTATCACAGCGCGCGGCTCTATCTTCGTGATGCCCTCAATGATGCTCTGCAAGAAAGAAGAGATGAAGAGGATTGTGGGAAGAGGAGGTGGGGAAAGGAGGTGGGGAAAGGAGGTGGGGAGTGGAGGCGGTGAGGGCGGTCAATGCAATGGAGTCAACTATCACAGCTCGCAGCTCCATTTCTGCCATTCCCTTCAAACTGCTCAACAGGGGGCGAAGGGGGTTGTGGGGAAGAGGAGGTGCGGAGAGGAGGTGACCATGAGGGCAGTGTATGTATGGTATGGAGTGCATATTCACAGCTCACGGGTCTATCTATCTCCATCCTCTCCCACTGTGCTCTTCAAGGAGGTGGGGGCGAAGAGGGCTGTGGGGAAAAGGAGGGGAGGTAACAGTGAGGGCAGTCAATAAAATCCGAATCACAGTGCGCGGCCGCAGGGGAGAACGGGCGGCCGCAGGGGAGAAGAGGCGGCCAGAATGAGATGCTGGAGGGGGTAGTGTATGGGTGATTCCCATTGGCAACGGAAATTAATGGGAATGACCATTCCCAATGGCTCGTGGCTCTATCTCCGTGATCCCCTCAAGAATGCTCTGCACGAAAAGAGATGGTGGAAGAGGAGGTGAGATGGAGAAGTGTCTGGGGGCCAATGAACGCACAGCTAGCGGCTCTCTCTCCGTAATCCCCTCCAATGTGCCGTACACGAGCTGGTTTTTGAGAATTCTCAAATCCCCTCCAATGTGCCCTGTATGGAGAAGGGAGAGGGTGAAGCTGGTTTTTGAGAATTCTCAAAAACCAGCTCGAGGCTCTATCTCCGTGATCCCCTCAAGAATGCTCCGTAATCCCCTCCAATGTGCCGTACACGAGCTGGTTTTTGAGAATTCTCAAATCCCCTCCAATGCGCCCTGCACGGAGAAGGGAGAGGGCGAAGCGGGTGTGGGGAAGAGGTGCTGGTCGGGAGAGGTGGTGGGGGTGGGGGTAGGGGGGTGTATAAGATTCCACCTCGCGGTTCCATCTTGGCGGAGAGTGGAATTGTGTGGGTAGGGTTTTATCTCCGCAATTCCACTCACACCTGTTTGTAGGGGAGAACGTGCACCTTGCCCCCCTGATCCACGCGGATATGCCAGCCAGAGGCGGCACCACGGCGGCGCAGTGCGTGCAGTGCAATGTCAGATCAGATCCGATCCAATCCGATCCGACATTGCACAGCGCGCGCTGAAGAGTGTGCAAGAAGAGTGTTTTTGAGAGGTCTCAACTCAAAACGATCTGTGTCTGTCACTTTCACAATGGGGCCGCACCGCAAGAGGTTCGCGTTGGGACAGGCAGAGACCGTTGACCCAGATGGGCCGAATGAGCATGAGAGGGTGCCGGCATGAGACGTCTCAAAGATAGTTCATTTCATGACAAAACAAGTCAAAACAAGTAGACTCGGTAGGCAAGGCGGTTGGTTGGTGGGTAGCTCGAGGTTGTTCTTGAAGAGAAGGAATAGGTTGTCTGCCATGATGCCCAGCAAGAGAAGAGGCTGCTGGGAGGTTGACAACTGGAGATCGCACTCATACATGATTATCTAAGGTGGTTGGTTGGTTTATCACTCATAATACCTCCAGGTTGTTCTCGGAGAGCAGGAAGAGGTTGTCTGATGTGATGAGCAGGAAGAGGTTGTCTGATGTTTTGAGAGACAAGTGGGGCGGCTACTTCCTATTGGCGCCTTGTTCCCCAAGGTGGGGTTCTCACTTAGAACATGTGGAGTTGGTATGACAGTTGGCAGGTAAGGCAGTTGCTTGCTGGATTAGCTGGTTATCACTCATACCTCGAGGTTGTTCTTGGAAAGCAGGAAGAGGTTGTCTGCAGTGATGACTGCAGTGATGAGAGACAAGTGGAGTAGCCATCAACCAGACCAGAGGCTTCGTCCCCGAGGATCTCACTCATTCAGAAAAAAAGTGGACTGGGCAAGGCGGTTAGTTGGAACTTGGTTGGGAGTTGGTACCCCGACTGGATTCTCACTCAAAGCAAGTGGAGCTGGTAAGGAAAGGAGGGAAGTAGTACCTCAAGGTTGTTCTCGGAGAGCAGGAAGAGGTTGTCTGCTGTAATACCCAGCCGCTTGGCGCGCGTGGCCAGCTGCTCCTCGCGCTGCAGAGAGGGAGAGGGAGTGGGGAGGAGGGGAGGGTAACGCATAGCACATGATGGCACGCTTCTCTTGGCCGCAGTGATGCCCAGCCCAGGCGCTTTGCCCGCGTGGCCAGCTGCTCCTCGCGCTGCAGAGAGGGAGAGAGTAGGGAGGGGGGGAAGAGGATTTGGGTCATAGGGGAGAAACAGGCGCTAGCGCCTTGTTCATGCCCTTGTGTTTGGAGCATGTGGCCAGCTGCTGCTCAAGCTGCAGAGAGAGAGGAGGAGGGACGGGGAGGGGGTGGGGAGGAGGCGTGTTAGGTGAGGGCGGTAAGTGGTCCATCCACAACAGGTGCACGCAGTGAGTGTGCAAGTGCCTTGTTCATGCCCAGTCACTTGACACGTGTTGCCAGCTGCTGCTCCTCGCACTGCAGACAGGGAGAGGAGAAGGGAGATGGGATAAGGACAGGGGTAACTCTGGCGGGACCCGGTGTCTGGTGGGGGGAGGACACATGGTGGGGGGAGGACACATGGTGGGGGGGGGACACATGGTGGGGGAAAGGACACATGGTGGGGGGAGGACACATGGTGGGGGAAAGGACACATGGTGGGGGGAGGACACATGGTAGGGGAAAGGACACATGGTGGGGGGAGGACACATGGTGGGGGGAGGACACATGGTGGGGGGAGGGCACATGGTGGGGGGAGGACACATGGTGGGGGGAGGACACATGGTGGGGGGAGGACACATGGTGGGGGGAGGACACATGGTGGGGGGAGGACACATGGTGGGGAAAAGGACAGAAGGTGGGGTATGGCACAAGGGAGGGAGAAGGGACGGATGAGGGACAATGTGCAGACGGATGAGGGACAATGTGCAGACGGATGAGGGACAATGTGCAGAGTACTCTGCTATGCTGACGGACGCCCATCGTCTCCCCCTACCCGCATCGCATCTCCCAAGCCCGCCTCCCCCAAGCCCGCCTCTCCCAAGCCCGCCATCTCCCCTGCCCCAACCCACCTCTTCCCCTGACACATAGAGCACAGCAGGCGGGGAACCTCCTGTTTTGCGACAGCAGGCAAAACGGACAGCCACCTCCCCCAGGCTCATCTCCCCTGCCCCAACCCACCTCTTCCCCTGACACATAGAGCACAGCAGGCGGGGAACCTCCTGTTTTGCGACAGCAGGCAAAACGGACAGCCACCTCCCCCAGGCTCATCTCCCCTGCCCCAACCCACCTCTTCCCCCGACACATAGAGCACAGCAGGCGGGGAACCTCCTGTTTTGCGACAGCAGGCAAAACGGACAGCCACCTCCCCCAGGCTCATCTCCCCTGCCCCAACCCACCTCTTCCCCCGACACATAGAGCACAGCAGGCGGGGAACCTCCTGTTTTGCGACAGCAGGCAAAACGGACAGCCACCTCCCCCAGGCTCATCTCCCCTGCCCCAACCCACCTCTTCCCCCGACACATAGAGCACAGCAGGCGGGGAACCTCCTGTTTTGCGACAGCAGGCAAAACGGACAGCCACCTCCCCCAGGCTCATCTCCCCTGCCCCAACCCACCTCTTCCCCCGACACATAGAGCACAGCAGGCGGGGAACCTCCTGTTTTGCGACAGCAGGCAAAACGGACAGCCACCTCCCCCAGGCTCATCTCCCCTGCCCCAACCCACCTCTTCCCCTGACACATAGAGCACAGCATGCGGGGAACCTCCTGTTTTGCGACAGCAGGCAAAACGGACAGCCACCTCCCCCAGGCTCATCTCCCCTGCCCCAACCCACCTCTTCCCCTGACACATAGAGCACAGCATGCGGGGAACCTCCTGTTTGCGAGCCCCCTGCCTCCTCTGCCAGCAGCCCTGCCAGCTGCCCGGGGGGGGAAGGGTTAAGTGGTAACAATTGGTGAAGATGGATAATGCATGCATGCCAAAGCAGGAATATGCATAAAAGCAGTAACATGTATTGATGTTTACGAACCAATGGCTTGCTAACAGGGCACACTAGAGTTAGCTTCAGTGTGAGAACAGGAGTTCTTGAATGAACAGAGCAAGTATT